TATGTATGGTGCATGTGGGTTACGTGTGCGTGTGTGTGGTGCATGTGTGTGTTGAAAACATGTTATTTAGCAAAGTGTCACAAGCCTGTAATGCCAGGGAAGTGCTGTTACAGGAGGCTGGCCTCCTGGGATACAGTGAGTTTGAGGCCAGCTCAGGCTATAAGAGTGACGACACCCTGTCTCTCTTTCTTTCTTTTCTCCTCCAGGAGCGATCCTTGCTGAAGCTAACCTCTTTATCATACTCTGCCTTAGGCGCATGCAGCACTGGACAGAATCTGAGATGGGCTTAGATAAGATTTGACTAAACACTCCTCATTTTCTAGTGTAAGGTTGCTTCCAGGTGGATGGACCTTATCTCTGTCCCATGTGACCTTCCTAGGGTTTAGGACAGCGGTTCTCAACCTTCCTAATGCTGCGACCCTTTAATACAGTTCCTCATGGTGTGGCGATCCTCAACCATGAAAGCATTTGCGTTGCTACTTCATAACTGTAATTTTGCTACTGTTAGGAAACATAATAGAGACTGGAGACATCTACTATGCGACCCCTGTGAGCGGCATACCCACAAGTTGAACTGCTGGCCTACAGCGAAGGCCAAGGGAAGGCACTCACGAAACTGAATATTTTCATCACCATGTGACTCATGGTGCATGTTCACCCCACAAACCTGACATAACGTAAAGATGCTGCCGAAATGCACACTGGGTTACTGCAGACTTGGTCACACTCCTGTCTCTACAGATGCTCCCCAGCCCACCTTGACAGGGACTTTTTGGGTATACCACATGTCCATATATAAACTACTGCCTCTGGGCCAGAATGTAGCCTACCTATTTTTATAAAGGGTTACTCAAATGCGGCCTCACCCATAAGTTGGTTGCTTTGGAGCCAAAAAAAGGAAAGAATTGGGTAATTTCAGAGAAGACTAAACAGCTTGAAAATATTCACCACCTGACCATTCAGGAAGTTTACAGGAAGCAGGTCATGGTGCGCCCCCAGGTCTACAACTGTAGCTATTTTGGACGCTAAAGTAAGAGGACACAAGTTCAAGAGCAGCCTGGGCAATTTACTTAGAGCCAGTCTTAGAAAAGGAACATTCAGGATACAGCTTAGTGGGAGGAGCACCTGCCCAGCATTCAAGAAGCCCTAGGTTCAATACCCAGCAACCCACAGAAGCAGAGTGTGGTGATGCCCGCCTGTAATTCCAGCACTTGGGAGCGGGAGGGAAAGATCAAAAGTCCTTAGAGGTCATTTTTGTCAGCCTGGGCTATCTAAAAAATTTAAGGCAAAATAAAATAAAGGCATGGTGGCACATGCCTTTAATCCCAGCACTTAGGAGACAGAGGCAGGCGGGGCTCTGTGAGTTCGAGACCCGCCTGGGCTACAAGAGCTAGTTTCAGGACAGCCTCCAAAGCCACAGAAAAACCCTGTCTCGAACCCCCCCCCCAAAAAAAAAAGGAAATAAAAAGGGTTGCGGTCATAGATCATGGTACAGAGCTTATAGAGCATGCACAAGGCCCTGCGTTCCAGCCCCACCACAGGGGAAAAAGACAAGAAAACGCTACCATTCACAGTGGCTGCCAAGACAGTATTCCAGCCTAGGTGTGTGGCAGGCATTGTGCAGAGCATTGCCTACTACACATTGTATTATCTCATGGAACTGAATTCCTATTACAGTATCACCAGCAGAGTCTGACATGTGAGATCAACAGAGTCTCCACTGTCTGCTAGGGTCCTTGTGCCCAATGACAAATCCCGAATCCAGAGCCTGGGTCTGTGCACCTCTGGCCTGTGTGCCAGGTTGTGCACATTCTAGCCACATCTAGCAGAGCCCTTGATACTTTTGAGATTGGCCCATCTCCCATTGTCCTCAGAAGATCACCTAGGGGTTGCTACTTCTTTGGGGGAAGTTCCTTCTAGCCCAAATGCCTACTACTCTCTCTCTGAGAATTCCACCACCTTGTCAAGGCTTAGTTAAGGCCTGCCTCTCTCAACCAATATGTAGTCTTTTGGAAGGCCACAGTTGCTTAAAAGGTTTATTTTCATTATTTTATCAATGTGTGTCTTTGTGGGTGGGTATGTGCAGAAGAGGGGGCTGGGTCCCATGGAACTGGAGTCACAGACAATAGTGAGCAGCCCAAGGAGGGTGTTGGAATCCCAGCTCAGGTCTTCTGGAAAAGCTGCCAGTGCTCTAAGCCACCCAGCTATCTCTCTAGCAACATTTATTTTTTCTAATTTAATCCTCTTTTTCCATCATGAGTTCTAGGGATTGAACCCAGGCCCTCCACTTTTCATAGCAACTCAGGCTTGCAAGTGCTTTTCCCGGCCACACCATCTTACTGGGGCTGCCACGGCTGCTTCTTACATAGAGCACAGATGAGACTGGGCTGCAGAAGCCTTGGTGTCTCCTGCTGGAGCTGAACTCCGTCCCTCTGAGATAGAATCTCACTGCATGGCTCCAGCTGCCTTCAAACTAAGTAGCCCTGACTAACATCCTGACTCACAGTAAGTCTTACTAGAAGCAGAATCTTTTCTTTCTTTCTTTCTTTTTTTCAAGAGAAAGTCTCACTATGTAGTTCTAGCTGTCCTGGAACTTACTGTGTAGACCAGGCTGGCCTCAAACTCATAGAAAGCAGCCTGCCTCTGCCTCTGCCTCCCAAGTGCTGGACAAAGGCATGTGTCACTATGCCAAGTTAGAAGGAGAAAGAACCTTAAAGGAAGTCATGCATAGTGGTATGTACCTTTAATGCCAGCACTTGGGAAGTAGAATTGGAGGCCAGCCTGGTCTACATAGTAAGACTATAAAAGTAAGAAAGGAAGAGGGGGGGAGGGAGAGAGGGAGGGAGGGAGGGAGGGAGGAAGGAGGAAGGAAGGAAGGAAGGAAGGAAGGAAGGAAGGAAGGAAGGAAGGAAGGAAGGCAAAGCAAAGCAGAGCAAAGCAAGAAGAGGCCCAGAGAGATGGCTCAGTGGGAAAAGGTGCTTGCTAGCACGGAAGGAAGGAAGGAAGGAAGGAAGGCAAAGCAAAGCAGAGCAAAGCAAGAGGCCCAGAGAGATGGCTCAGTGGGAAAAGGTGCTTGCTAGCACAACTGACAAGCAGAGTTAATTCCTGGAACTCATATGGTGGGAGAGAACCGATTCTCAAAAGTTGTCCTCTGACCTCCACTCTCCTACCTAGCATGTGGGCACAATACAGATATACATATACACATACACAGAATAAATAAAATCTAACTTTTTAAAAAAGAGCAGAAAAGGAAACCCAGTTAAATCTTTTCAAATTAGACAAGGCAAGAGTTCAAGTAGTAAAAACTACATAGAAATTAAATCCCTTCTGATTGCCCATGTAGGTTTTCTGAGAATACGAATTCTACCACCTGGCGTGTTATCCTTCTTGGTTTGTGATTCCTACGCCTACTTTTTGTTTTTGAGACAGGGTCTCACTATGTAGTCCAGGCTAGCCTGGATCTCAAGATTCTGCCTTGGCCTCCTGAGTACTGGGATGACAGACATGCACCACCACACCCAAACCTTGTGAGGCTGGCCTGTCTCCTCATCCACGTGCATGCCCTTGAGAGGTAGTCATTTCTACCAGGGATTGGGGCAGTGACCAATAGGCACAAGCCCCAACGCAAAGTATCCTAGTGTCACTCTGTCCACAGCTCACTATCCAAAAATACATCCCTAGGCACTTCAGGTCCCCAGTCAGAACTCTGCAATCAGCTGTTTCTAAACTGCCATCCTGGAGTAGAATGTCTTGGGGACTCCCCAGGACGCCAGGCATTGTCGCCTAGCACAGCTGATGTGGCCAGCAAGTGTTGGTCCTCGGTCTTTGACCTGAGGAAGGATGGATGACTGCATCCATCCTTAGGGATGCTCTCTGTGCCGGCTCCTCCTCCCCGGAGCCTTCCCGAGGTGTCACCGGTCCCTCTCGGGAAGGCAAGGCCGGGTCGGGCACCCGGGAGCTCCGAGGACGCTGACCTCAACTTTGTTTTTTTAAAAATAGCTCGG